GTGGGGCATATGAAATGGGGTTGAGAGGAAGAGATACAGACCTAGAATGTAGAACAAAAAATAAGGGCGAAGAGTGATGCAACAACGGTTGAACGGAAAATTAGTCAAGCGGATTGCTTTCATTTGTTTCTTTGATAAGTTGTAACTCCATGCTGACGATAAAACCTCTCACTGACGATGTAGACTACGATGCTGGTGAAACGTCTGCGAATGTATCAAGTCATTGGTCCGATATTGGAAATCACCAATTCTATGGCAGAAGACACACTATTAGGTACGCTCCACAAAGTCTATCTGACGCTCTGAACAAGTTGTAAAAACGAGATCGAACCAACATTTAATGAATAATATCTGTTTTTATTCTGAGACACCAAAATATGTTAATAGAAAGAGCCTTGAACAATGCTCATTTAACATTTGCTCTAGCAAATAGAGCTAATGTAGACAAATTATCTCACCTGGTCTCATAAGTGCAGGAACCTTTAAGGAGTCGGTTGATCACAGGATTTCCATGACGTTCAAAGCGTGCTTCTAGGAGATGCATAAAAAGACTATGAAATTCGGGGGCATCCTATTAAAAAAGATAAAAGAGTAAGAGAATGTAAAAGTAAGGGCAGTAAATAAATTACTTAAAGAAGTATTTAACTAATATTTTAATATACCTGTTGTTCTTTCTCGCAAAGTCGGAGAGCTTCAATCAGTCCACCAGGGTCAACCAAGCTGACGAAAAAAGGACAAATAAGAAATATGAAGTGGCAAGGATTACGAGAAGTTAAGATGGATATTTAAGGATAGAGTTAAAGAAAGAATAATCTTAGATATGAAGACCAAGATGGGTTGACCTCGTTTTATCAACTTAATCTTGTTGTCAGGGCGAATTAGTTAAACAAACCTTGCACGAAGCCCTCTGATATAGTAGTTATCATGATTCCCAGAATCAGAATTTACCAAATCCACGGTCTGATGCTGGGAATTATAACTACTATGACAGAGGACTCCGGACAAGGTGCGTTCAGCTAAGTCGTTCTGACAACAAGATTAAGTTGATAAAACGAGGTCAACCCACTTCAATAAATAATGTAGCTTCTAGGCAGTGAAACCGTATACTGAAATGATAGGAAAGGGTAAAGAGAAGCGCATCGAATCACTCAATGATACAAGGATAGACACCAAGTCCTAATAAAATTAAAAAAGTACCCAGAAGGTACACTTTAACTTTACAGAAATAAGACAGGAAAAATGATTTTACACGGTATGATATCGTGTAGGGGATAAGGTAGGAAGAGAAGCTGGGTCAGGAACAATCTCTCGATAAATTTATGTTGTTGTATCGTCCATTTCAAATGAAAAGAAGAGCGTAAGGAATTCGCGTATTAGCCTCACCGAAAGCCGGAGGATTGGTTCGGCTTATGAACTAATAAGTCGCCGGAGCACCGTACCACCACTCTGATGAATTTGTGCTAAGCTTTCGCTTTTTTTCAAAGAATTCGGTAGTGCGTATCTTAGTGCCCATTGAATTTTTCTAAAACAGGGTTTCACGCATTGTCACGGCGGGACAGGAAATAGCTCGGTATCAATCTACAGCCAGAACTCGAGTAGGTGCCAATTTAGTAGACATCCTAGCCCGCCTTAGTAAATGAAATTAAAAGTACAACATGAAAAGATGTATGTAATGGTTTATAATCAGTGGTGCTCATTACTTTACAAACCGTGTATAACATCAATTTTCCGTCTGGGGCCAAAACAGCATTTGAGCTCATTGCCAATTAAAGACTGGCTCTACATCTTCCTCCCTGAGCCTTAAAATGTATCAAACGAGAAGAACGCCTAGCTATTGACATACTACTGCAAATTGACGCCTCACACATGCATCTGCAGCAAGTATATACACCCTAGTTCATTTCAGGTGATGAAGGACTGGTATTTGCATTTTCCCATAATTATATGAAAAGAGCTGGCGCTTCCATTTAATTTCACATAGCCTTGCTTTCCTAAAAGATGTTCCCATCCAGGGTGGACTGAAGCTTCGACCTCACCTAGGTCTTATCAACACCAACGGCGGGGACTCAATCCATGACAATGCAGTGTATCATTTTGACACGTTAACCACTACGCCACAGTACCATAAGTGCCCTTGGGCCACAGGGCATATATGAATTTCAAGGAAGGCCAGGCATTTTCTCATAAAATATTCTGTGATGGGATTGCAGATTAAGCAAAATTTTATCTGCTATAGCAATGTGGCAATGTGGCGTAAAGGTTAACGTGTCAAGATTATACGATGTACTGTCATGGTTCGATTCCAGCTAAAGTTGTTGATAAGACCTAGGTGAGGTCGAAACTGCGGTCCACCCTGGA